TGTGTGTGTGTGTGTGTGTGTGTGTGTGTGTGTTTGTGGCCAGCTCAGCCCACCAGGGGGCGGGGCTGGCTGGCATGTGGTGCTGGGGGATTGAACTGCAGTCCCTGTGCTTTGCTAAGCTTGTTCTAAGTAGGTGCTTTAGACCACTGAGCCATCTCACCAGCCCCAAAGAAGGAAACGATTCTTTATGGGTAGAAGACAGAAGGCAGAAGTGACAAGCTACAAGTAACTTAAGTAACTTGCAGCAAGCCTTTTTCTGTTCCTTATGTTGTATCTAGGCTACTGCCCTTAGGATAAATGGTACTCTCACCCATAAGCCTAGCACCTGAAAGCCTAAATTGCACCATGGATCAATGGAACACTCTGGATCCAGCCATCTCTGAAAAAGGCGTATGCAAGCCATGATGGGAATATGAGTGAAATTTGTCAATCTTGTCTGGAACTGTGTCTTTTTTCCTGGTGGATAGGAAAGAAGGGAGGTCTAAAATGACCTGGTGAGAAGGTTTGTTTTTTTTAAACTGTTATATGATCTGGTGATGTAAGCTATGTCTTGGCTAAGTGAGGGTGTAAACATAGTTGGGAAGCAGATGAGTAAAAGGTTTCGCTCTACTGTGGAACTATGGAGAAAAGTGAGAATACTAAGGCTCTTATGTTGAAGGATGATTCTGTGTCTCTCTCTCTGTCTCCCTGTGTGTGTGTGTGTGTGTGTGTGTGTGTGTCTGTCTGTCTGTCTCTCTGTCTCTCTGTGTCTGTCTCTCTCTCTCTCTGTCTGTCTCTCTTTCTCATCTTGCTGTGTGCAGGATGGCCTTGAACTTGCGTATGTAGCGCAGTGACCCTCCTACCTCAGCCTTCATGTGCTGGGATTACAGGTGTGCGCCACCACACCTGACTCCCCTTCACATCGTTAAAGCTATTCCATTTTTCCTTGCTTCTTCCTTCTGTGTCTTTATTATAGTTCATTTCTGGATGTACCCAAAGCCTCTATGGTTAAAGGTGGGGTGAATGGAAGGTGATTGTGGTGTAGGAGCACTGTGGGCACTATAGGTGGCTTAATGTTGGGAGGTGGGGTCTGGTGGGAAGTATCAAGGGAGGTGTAACTGGCTAGGCCATATTTCCTTTCCATTCCTTTTTTTTTTTAAAGACATTTCTGTCTGTAGTTCAGGCTGGCCTTGAACTCCTTATTTATCTCAGGCTGGTCTCAAACTCAATGTGATCTTTCAGCTTCAGCCTTCCAAGTGCCAATTGTGTGAGAAATGCCATTGCATGTCCACACCCAGAGAATAGACTAGAGGAAAAAAGTGAAACCAAGACTTTTTCTCATTCTTGGAAAAATGGCATGCCAGCCCAACAGACACACATGCCCTCAGAATGAATACAAAGAACAACATAAATCCTAATGTACGGTTCCCATGGCTGAGTACTTTTTTTTTTTTCCTGCGGAACTGGGGATTGAACTCAGGCCCTTGCGCTTGCCAGGGAAGCGCTTATTCTATTGAGCCATCTCCCCTGCCCCTTTGGCTGAGTACTGAGTTACTCTGTTCCATAAGTGCCTAACCTCTTTGGCCTACTCCCTCTGTAAACAGTCTGGTTTTTTTTTTTTAAAGCAAAAGATTAATTTACATTGGCATTGTTCTAACTGACAGTGCTTTTCCAGTGTGCGCATGGTGAATTCTGTGCTTAACTGCATGCTCTACCCTTCTTCAGAGACCAGCTCAGCTGCCAGACTTCCATGGCATTCTAAGGCTAAAAGACCTTTCCTGGCACTAGGAAAAGTCCTATTTTTATTTATTTTTAAGAATGCTAGTGCTTTACGAATACTCCCTCAACACTACTGCCAAATAGTCCATTTCGCAGTATTTTTTTAATTTTTGTTTTTATTTTTTTGTATGCAGGGTCTCACTAATAGATTATTTTAAACTTCTGTGTTTCTTAAAATTGTTGATGCTTTTTGATGAGTATTTTTACTTTTCTGTAAGCGTGCTTCAGTTTATGCTTTATTCTTTTGATAATGAAATTTAAAATTACTTTCTGAGGTAGATTTACATTTTGCATTGGCTTTAACCTTAGTCCAAATTCCTTTCATTTGGGCTAGGGATGTAGCCCAGGGGTGCAGTGCCTGCCTGCCTGGCAAGCCTGAGGCCCTGAATTTGATTGCTGGTGCTGAAAGAAAATAGTTAAAAAAAAAAAAAATTCCTTTCATTTGAGAGGAGCTTACATAAAAGAATAGCCATATCTTTTTCTTTTTTGTGGTGCCAAGAATTTAATCTAGGTTT